GACTCCGGCATCACAGGAACCATCATGGCCGCGACCGGCGAATCAGCAAGCACATACACAGGCCTCGACGAAGTCCTTCCCGGCCCAGCAGTGATCATCAGCCTGATCGCCTACAACTCAACCGTCCAAGCCATGAACACCACTCTCCACAACCTATCCACCCAACTCACTAATCATACTACCCAAATAAACACCACACTCACACCACCAACCTCGTACTCTTACTGGTCCTACATCAAACCCAACTTCCTCGCCAGCCAATCCGCCGGCGCATCCAGCCTCTTCACAAGCCGCCTCCTCGGCAAATCCGAGCTCTCGTCCCTCCCACAGCCAGACCTCATCCACTACCTGCAGCAAATCTCCGCCTCCCAATCTGGAGATGGCACCCTCCTCATCTTCGGCCTCCAGGGCGGCCGCGGCACCGCTAACGTGCCTGAACAACGTCGCGGTAGCGTGCTTTCCTCGTGGCGCAGCGCATACGCACACGTCATGGCGTATGGCGGCTCCGTGAACGATACAGGGGATCCTGCTGCGTCGTTGGCTGAGGCGGCGGAGTGGTATGAGAGTGTGCTGGAGCCGGTGTGGAGGGATTGGGCGCCGAATATGGGCGCGTACATGAACGAGGGCAATCCGTTTAGTAGTACCTGGAAAAGGGACTATTATGGGGATGGGTATGAGAGGTTAGCGGAGGTTAAGAGGAGGTATGATCCGAATGGGAGTCTTTGGGTGTATGCGGGGGTGGGAAGTGATTTGTGGGAGTTTGATTTGAGGAGTGGGCTGCTTTGTAGGGTGTAGATGGGAGATAAATTGTGAGGGGGGTGGGGGGTTACGTGTGAGTCCTTGTTTTCTGTCCTTTGTATTATTAATTGCTTGTAGCAGTATGTATATATATTGTTTGTCTGTTTGCTATACCTGTTGCCTATCTCGCACTGTCTGCTACCACTCAAGAATGAATTGAGCCTAGGTAGTCTTCATAGAACTCTGATATTATAACTTGTGAATAGATTAAGAATATATACACCCAATAGTAATATACAATAGTACTTGCGCTCCTCCAACCCAACTAATCCTCCTGCGTCTCCGGCCCCGACATTAACCTCTGCGACTCCGCCGCATCCCGAACATGCAAATCAAAGCTCAGCTCCCCAACCAAGCTCTTCACGTTCCTAGAATGAGCAAAATCAAACATTAGCGCACATCGCCCACAAATTCATAAGCAATAAGACAGGGGGGAATCAACCACATACCTGAGCAAATCATCCAACGTAAAACTCACCACCGACCTAAGAACCTCTAGACAGACAAATGCGGAGAAGGCCGGATCCTCCACATGACGAATACTCAACAACTCCTCATCAATGCGCTGCAGCTCCCTCGCAAGGGGAAATGTGTCCCCCGTCTCAAGATACGGCGGTAGGGGCTGAGAATTTAGCACCGAAGCAGACAAGTGACAGAGCAGGGAAGTGATCTTGTGGGACTTGAAGCCGCTGGATTGAAGAGCTATCGATGCGAGGCGGGAGATCCATTTATTGTTATTATTATTGTTGGTATCATCGGTTATTGCGGACAAAGCGTCCATATTCTGAGTGGTATGCGCCATCAATGCCATGCTAGTGAGCATGCGCTGGATCTGGCCAATAATCTGATCGTATGTTGCACGGGGAAATTTCCCACCGATGGGCGGCTCAAAGGAACTGAAGTGACTGTGCATGCGGAGGCTGTTTAGGAGGAGCATTTCTTCTTTGAAGACTTTGTGGCGGGAGCGTTGGAGGGTGGCGGATGCGGAGCGGACGTCGTCTTCGGTGGTGCCGAGTTCGCCGGTGAGCCAGAGCTCGATGGTCGTGTGCATGCAGCTGTAGAATTTGGCGAGAACGAAGAGTCCACGTCCGAGCGTTTTGCGGAGGGTTGATTTGGCGGTTATTGGGTAGGGGAAAATTACCCAGAAGAAGGAGATCGCGCAGCCGGCGGCCACGGCGGCGAGTTTGTACGGGCCGAAGAGGTAGATTGGGTAGTAGGGTTGGCCGTTCGAGGTTGCGACTTCGATGCCGAGTTTGCGGACCTGGTTTGGTTTGGTTAGGGATGGGTTGTTTTGAGCGGAGTTGGAAATGGAGGGGGGTTGGTTACTTGTAGTTCGTAGCCTACGATGACGTTTAGGGTGACGATGGCGATCACAGAGGCTCCGAAGTATTGTGGTACTTTTACGTAGAAGTAGTACTATTGGAGGGGGTTAGCGGGTGGTAGGTATATAGAGAGGACGTAGGCTTACCTCGAAGACGTTGGCGAGGTAGAGGAATACTATGACACCTGGGGTCTTCTGATCCACAATATACCAGACAATCAGACTCAAGACTAACGAGACGGCCGTTGCTGCGATGCGCGCAATGAAGCCGAACATTGTCTGTCCGCTGGTCGGGTTCATCCCAATCACGATGACAATCATGGCCCAGATGCATCTCTGGTGAACGAAGAAGTCCTGCGTTTTGCGCAGGTATGCCAGAATACCAACAGAAAATGCAGCGGCGGCAACACGGAAGCCAAAAATACTTTGTTCGGAACTGATAATGTGTGACAAGTAGCGAAGCGCCAGACTGCCTTTCTCGAACCAGTTGGCCGGGGGCAGATGCTCAGGATCCGGGAAGTTGTTCGCTTCAGTCTGCCCAAATGCAGAAGATGGATCGACATGAGATGATTGTCTGCGGTCCGGACCAGACTTGGTGTCGTGTTCGGTTTCAAGCGATAGCCATCTACGGATGGTGCTGAGTCTGGGGAGAATCAATCGGCTCCGCTTCATAGTGCCATCCTGGATTCGGTCATCCGCAAAACGGATCAAGTCGAGGGTCGCTGTCAGTAGGTTATCCTGCAGGTGTCCCATGAAGAGGATGAGAAAGAACTCTTGCCTGACGTCGGGGTCAGTCGCAATGGCTGCCAGGTCCTCCTGGGAGGTGGCATTATCCGGCTTCTCTGAGACGGTGAACGCCTCAAGGGATGCGAGATTTCTTGTTAGATCCCTGCGGCGCGAGAAGTAGTTTCGCATTTCTTGTTCAAATCGCTGTGCAAATTCTGGCTCTAGAGGTGTAAGGAGTTCTCCTGTCCCTTCTTCATCTGTTTTCCCTGAGTATTGTTTCTCGATTTTCTTGCGCTTAGAAAGCCCAAGTGCCAGTAGGACATATTGTAATCCAACTGTCACCAATCTGGAAGAGTCCACTAGGCGGCCTTGAAGCGTCTGGGCTACCTTCTGCATTTCTGTCTGCTTCAGAGAATCCTCCTCGGCATCGACCGACCGCAGACTGCTGTTGCGTGTTCCTTCGTTCCTGATAATCATGTCCAGCACCTCAGGCAGCATAGCCATTCCTGAAAGGGGCAACAAAATACCCCGTAGCAGCCCGCCAATCCTGCTCAGGTCGCCTGCTGATAGTTTGCCCCATGCGATCTCGTCTTTCGAGTAGAGAAGGTCCGATTGTAGCTTCCCGTGCAACCCGTTCAACTTGGTAATTGATGCTGTCAAGCGCTTCTGCTTCGCTTCCAGATCCGAGATAGGGCTGTTTTGCATGTCTCGCATACTCCGCGCCGTGCGCGTCCTCTTCAAAAGCCCTTGATTCCCGGTCCATACCTCTGATGTTCCCTTAACAAAGTCGATCTGGGACTGTAGCACGTTATCAATTTGCGCGACGTAACCCCTGATATCATCGAAGACATGTCCTCGGCTAGTAATGGGTAGTATAAGTAGAGAGACACCAGTGGCAATCGCAAATCCCAGCATAAACCCTTTTAGCAGTCTGGAAACAAACGAAAGACCCTCGGATAGTGTGGTGAACATGCCACCGCGAGTAATTGTAACAGAGGAAAAGATTGAAAAGGCTACCATAGGATCCTGCAGCTCCTGCGGGCGCCAAGCACGGACAGTATTTGCAGCCCTGTATAGGTTTAGCAAAATTAGAAATGCCATCCAAGTAGGATTGGACATACCAAATCATGAATATTAGCCATATGGCGGATACGGCACAGGCATCGCTGCTGAAGCCATTCCGGACGGCCTCGCTAGCATCCGGAGGGGTGTTATGTTGTCTCGCCCGTACGGCACAAAAGATCGCTAAACAGCAGAGGGAAGCAGATACGCATGTTGACAAGAGATCGAAGAACATGATCCGCATAAACTTGGCTCGAGGCGTAAGTGCCTGAGACAGGACCGAAATAAGTGCTGATAGATATCCGATCGTGAGGGTGATGTCCGATATAGCACTACTCTGGTAACTGTTGGATATCAGCTACTTCATATCGAGAGAATGACATGCAATATGGCCTACATCGCAATCACAATTGTCGGTGGCAAAGCGCCCTTCAGCATAATAAGGAATGACCGAGCGTCCAAGTCGAGGCGCTGTCTCCAGGTCAAGGGATTCAATATGCTGTTAAAAACAACTTTAGTCTCATTCCAACTACATGAATACTGCGACAGTTGCCTACCTCAGCAACTTGACCATTCTACCCCCGCCAGCGCTCCTTGAGGGAGCCATTGTGCATTGACTGCTGTGTCCGTACAGCTAAGCGTTACGGGAAGCAGGATGCTGCGTATGCTCGCATACGGGCAGAATAAAGAGAGGTTGTAGATTATGATGAAGAATTTTCTCCTCTTCTAGTCTCCTAAGCTCGCCGAAAGATCATCGATCGAGCCGGGCTGAGTGACGGCCGCATTCGGGTCGGGTTGCCGTGCCTGGATCTCGTGACGCGTGCCGAACCAAATGCCGATAGAAGAAGGTTTCTTCTGCACGGGGCGTCCGCAGCATTGTCGGCTGGGGCAATCGGCCATCAGATAGTTTTCCACGTATGTCTAGAGTTGATATGACTAGTAGACTACTAGTAGGCGTGACTGGTTTGTGGGGTTCTTAAGCTGGTCAATGTGGTTGCTTGGCAGTATCAGAAGATGCCAAATTCGTAGTAGTTGAATGTTGAGATCTAGTGTTTTAGAGAAGCAAGTAACCTTGCGGATGACACAAATATAATCTGCAAACTTATCGGGATATAGGTCCGAGCAGTAATATAAGGTCTCTAGCATCGGTTACTTGTCTTGGCCATGAATCCCCGACGAGCCAGTATAAAGTAGAAGCCAGAAAGGGATCCCACGATAATGTGAGCGGCTGAAACCTTTGCCGCGACATCCCTCCGCATCTAAGCACGTGACCCAAACACACTGTGACTGTCGTCGCAGTCTTTCATGGACGATGAATGATGATCTCGCCATGAGAGGGCTCCTATTCTACGATAAAGCCAATTCTCGATGCATAGAGCAGGTGTTCGAGTGGTTGGCTGACACTTCTCCAGCGCGACATGATGACGAGTAGACGGACACATCATGCCTCTAAAGGTACCAGCATACGCTAGGACATCACCCCGCATATGTGCTCTGGTAGTGGTTACTATTCTTTGTGCTCCTACCCACTGGCCAAGACGGTCAGACGCAATGACATCCGGACATGCATCTTCCTAATCAGATGCTGTTGCGGGGTTACGAGGCGCGCTGGGCCGTCATGATCTCATCGTTTCCATATATACTTTGTTGAGGAACAATGAAGACCAAATATGCCTGGTTCCAGTTACATGTGCCAAGCCGGAAACGCAATCAGCGACAGTGATCTGAAACTACACTGATAGGATCGAATCTGTCCGAAAGGCACCGTCAACATGAACTCAATGCGTCGATGGCAGTTCCATCGCAACGGTCCACGGCACAGCCATAAGTTTTGGCTCAGCCACACTGCTGCGGAGACGGATGGGGATGACGAGTCCATGGTCTAGATCGTGAGTCAGCGGATTGTAGGGAACCGCGCTGAGTGGCCAAGGTGGACGTGTGAGAGAGATACTGAAAGTACAATGGAATACTGAACGAGGAGAAGACAGGTCAACATTCCGGAGAGATTCTGACGCTGACGAAGGCTCATTGACCTTTTGCAGGGAAAAGCTCATGTGACGCGTTACCCAAAGCTACTACGAACAAACCACAGAGAATCCCTGTAAAGTACGGGTATGGGATACCGGAATCCGGAGAAATGCTACCGAAACGAGGCTGACTCCTGACGTAGTGCCGACCAATCAAAAACGAGCCACTAGTGGACTTCGGGGCAGGCGCAGGAATTCAGCAGTTCTGATTGGAGGGTCTACCGGGGAGAAGATTTGGGGAAGATTTTAATTTGTTGAGAAAGACAGGTGAACTTGGCAATCACTTGCAAGCCAGCCCGTTCTGGCCTCAATTCTCGGTCGGGGTTTTTTTTGGAATTCACAACTTTCAGTCATGATTGTGTAGGTTTGTGTTCTGTTCTATCCGTTGCGTAACGGGGGTCTCTTCTCCCCCTTACCTCTGCAAGCCACGGCACCTGAAATAGAGTCACAGAACCGAATAATCTTGTCACTGCCGTTGACTCCTTTCACCCTAGTTTCGCTGGCTCCACTGTTGATGTCGTAGGTGTGCATCTCATGGACGGATTCTGGAAAAGGTGAGATGCGTTGAGATTTGCCCCTATGGATCCGCGGCCCAGAGGTGGAGAACTCCATCAGGGCGGCCCAAAAAGACTAGTAGCTATCTAATTGATCATGCATTCACTTTCTGCTTTCTTTTTTTTTGCGGACTGACAAATGGAGAAGTACCCGCCGTGTGATCGCTGACATCTCCGAGTCTGAAATTGAATTGAAAAATAGCCGATGACACCATGGAGAATTCGGTTCTCCGAGCTGAGCCCGGTCGGAGATACCAACAGGGAGGAGATGACCTCAGCGGTACCTTGGAAGTAGCTAACTAATCATAGTAGGTAGATAGAAGTTGATGTGATAGGATGTTAGAGCAACTTGTTGGCCATGATTGATAAGGTGCAAAGTGGAGACGGCTGCGTGTCGAGGTCGACGGCAATTCACTGCGATTCACTGCTGCGAAACGGGGCGGACCATGGCTCCAGTTCAGAATAAGGTCAGGATCAGGATGATCATCCTGGTGTTCTTGGCAAGCATCATTGGTTCTGCTTCCATGCCACAGGGCGCCCCCGTCCCAGAAAGGTTGACTTCTCCCATTCCTTTATAATAGTCCGGTCGCGCAGGTTACTTCTTGGACCCTCTTCCTATCTATCTTATTCTCCTTCCTGAAGCTTGGCTTGCTTGCTTGCTTCCTGTGTTTGACACAGCTTCCTCTTACCACTTTATCACACACGTCTTATCGAGGGCCCCTCTTGCCTTCTCTATCTGATCATTTCCGTTCCTGGTCCTGAAATACATGCGTGAGTGCCTCTCCCGACTCCCTCCCTATCGCCATCCCTTCCCTGGCCCATTAGAGGTCCTCCTCAAACGATTCTTCTTGACGTCTCATCGATGATCCCATCTATCTTGAGGTCCCTAATTAACATCTTATCTCCTTGCTATGCAGACCGGATTCACTCGTGGGCGAAAGCTCACGCGTCTACCCCGAATACTCAGTCCCAGGGTCAAAACCAGTCCAACTCCCAGTCCTCTGAGGACGCTTCAGCTCAAGATGCTCAAGTGAAAGAAGGTATACGTGACCCGGCCTGCCCGGAGTCGGAAAAAGATGCCAATCAAACCCCTGAGCGCGGAATGTTCGTTCGGATGAAGGATGGAATTGTTCGCTTCACCGGCCACACCAAACGCGCCCTGTGCCACAGCTGGGTCAATGTGCTGCTTGTGTTCGTCCCTGTCGGCATTGCGGTCGAGGCCGCTGGACTCAATCCAGGCCTGATCTTTGCCATGAATGCGATAGCTATCATCCCCTTGGCCGGTCTGCTCAGCCACGCCACCGAGTGTGTCGCCAGTCGATTGGGTGACACCGTGGGTGCGCTCATTAACGTCACCTTCGGAAATGCAGTAGAGTTGATCATCTTGTATGTTTTCTGAATCCGTCCTTCTACCTCTGATTGTGTTGCTAACGTTTCGGTAGCATGTAAGTCGTTGTTCACAAGAACATGTGCATCATCAGATACTAAACACAGCGGATTCGTTCAGTATTGCTCTAGTCAAGGTGAGTAAACAGATTCTCCGACAGACTTGAGGACCGCCCTAATATTGTCTAGAATGAGATTCGGATCGTTCAAGCATCCCTGCTCGGCTCCATCTTAGCAAACCTACTGCTGATCCTGGGTATGGCCTTTCTGTTGGGAGGCCTGCGCTTTCAGGAACAGGTAAGCCAGCCAGGGATCTAGATCTGTACTTGTTCGATGAACTAACTTGTGCCAGATCTATAATAGCACTGTCACGCAGATGAGTGCATGTCTTCTCAGTTTGAGTGTCATGAGTTTGCTCTTGCCGGTATGTCTGCGTATCCCTTCGGTCTACCTTATACATGCTGACGTATCCAGACGGCGTTCCACGCTTCTTGGTCGGATTCGGGAGATGCAGATAAGTACACACTTAAAGTTAGCCGTGGAACAAGTGTTGTAAGTAGTAGCTACTGCCGATCAGGTCATGCCTTTCTAACTCTTCGATCAGGTCTTGCTCCTGGTGTACGTCTTGTACATCATCTTCCAGCTCAAATCCCACGCCTATCTTTACGCCAGTATCCCACAACAAATCATTGATGAAGAATCTCACCCGGGTGTTCTGGCTGAATTCATGAATAGTTCGTCAGACTCGAGCAGCTCATCGGATGAGTCTGTCGATACGACAACCTCCTGGTCTACCGCCAAGCGTATAAAGAGGGCCATGAAACATAGGCGGCATCGCAAATCGAGTACCAGCTCTCATGGTACGGTTTCTCCACAGTCGTTCCGTAAAAAGTCCTCGGCCGATATGCCTCCTGCAGCCGTTATAGATGAGCATGCCGGTTCTGCGGGTGACCTGAGTGTTACTCAAGCGGACGGGTCCGGGTCCTTTGTCATTGATTTTGGAGATGACAGCCGATACGATGCCGATCATGAACCCCAGACGCGGGATTTCGGACAAGAACAGGACAAAGCCTCCAAGGAGGATCGAAAGACGAAGAGGCGTGAGCGGCGAAAGCAACGACGTGCCGAAAAGGACAAGGCCGCTACATCCGTGACTGGCACTACTGTAACCGGCCGCCCGTCCATGAAGACGCACAACACGGAAACTGCCTTGGATCATCCTCAACCTACGCTGGAGGTTGGAGAAGCGACTGAACCTGCCAAAAGGCGATCGCCCTTCCGTCCAACTATTCCATCTCTGTTGAGCAACACTGTTTTTTCGAGCAACCTGGCCGCGCCCAACTCAACGGTGCCTGCCAGTCCCTCGAATCCTTATGGTCTTCGACGAACGCATTCTCTGCCGTCTTTCACCAACCGCCCTCCACCTCCAGGAAATGCCGTTCAGTTTGCCCGGGGTGCTTCTCGCATGCCCACGGCCGTGACCAACAACCCAACTGAAGCGGCCCCCGAGCAGCCAGAACCTGAAATGTCTCGCACTGCAGCGGTGGTGATGCTTCTGGTGTCGACCGGCCTTGTAGCAGTGTGTGCGGAGTTTCTCGTCGACGCTATCCCCACCATGATCGAGAGCTCGTCTGTCAGTGAAGCGTTCATCGGTCTGATTATCCTCCCGATTGTTGGCAACGCCGCCGAGCACGTGACCGCCGTCAGCGTGGCCACCAAGAACAAGATGGACCTGGCCATCGGTGTCTCGGTAGGAAGTAGTATTCAAATTGGTATGTTTTTCATTCTTCTGTTGTTTGGGAGTAGAGACTCATTCGTCACAGCTATCTTTGTTACGCCTTTGGTGGTCATCCTGGGTTGGTGCATGGACAAGGACATGTCCTTGTACTTCACGCTATTTGAGACCATCTGTCTATTTGTCACGGCATTTGTTGTCAACTTCCTGGTTTTGGATGGCCGAAGCAACTACCTGGAAGGCTCCTTGCTCATTGCAGCCTATGTAATCATAGGGTAAGTTCGTTTTCTGTCCAGGTTGCGTTTGTTCGGCAGCTAACGAGCTTCAAGTGTTGCTGCATTTTATTATCCTGGCAGTGGACAGTCCAGTGATCTTGGCACTGCTGGAGGATAAGTGGTTGGCAGGGGTTCAATGAGACCAATGTCACGGCGCCGGGTATTTTAACACCCGACTGCACAGTGGTGGTGGAGTCGAGGAGGGGATAATGAGCTACGGGGTGTGGGTTCGGGGACCTGGAAGAAGACGGAGGATTGATGTTGCTGGTGGGAAAGGACGATGGTTACATTAAACGAGATTGCCAATAGTGCTACCTGGCTTAGTCTACACAATTTCAGAATGCGAATTACCACTTCTCGGACATAATGTTTTCATGAATTGCGGGATTTTGTGCGGCGACAGTAGGACCCTATGATACCCTGTAAATCCCGCTCCGATGCACGATATCTAACACATCGCCTGCCAAGCCAAATCGATTTCCTGGCGCAGGATTCAGCTGTAGGCAACGAGGCACTGATTCTCTCTTCTCACGCAGTCCATACAGTAAGTACACTCTTGGCGCAGCGTTGTCAAGACAGGTCCGACTGCGATGACTGCATCAGGAATGCACAGCGACAGATGTGGCTGAGCCTGTCATTATTACCGCGTACGGAGTACGAAGTCGTCTACTACTACGACAGTGGACTGTACAGCCACTCGGTAAGACACACGTGGCTGCTTCAGTCAGGGGCTATCGGAGGGGCAGGTCTTGGCGTAATCAATTGACGTTCCAGATACAGCGGCTAGCTTGCTGTTTCGCCGTTGTTGCATTTCGCTTAGGGGATGGCCTCGCTTGGAGGCAATTTTCTCTTCTTTTGCAGGATGTTGTCATCTACCATTGGGAAGCGTGTAAAGTGTGGCTATGCTTATCCAGAGCGTTGACCTAGTTGAATCTCCCGCCTTCTGGAACCCTACCCAACGGGGGAGGTTCTTAACCGGCTGGACGTGATGATGATACGGGACTGATACGCAGTGGGGCTAGTGCTGTGGCTGATAGGAGAGTATGTAATCCGATTGGCTGGGAGGACCAGTTCCACAGCACCAGCCCTGTGTGGCGCCAAGCACCCGAAAAGGGGAGAGTCGGAGGGACAAGTCAGACGGAGATTATTCTTAGCATTGATTTGGTTGGTTTCATGCGTGAGTGACTGCATGGCTAAGAGGGAACTATTAGCTAAACTGCTAGGCATCAATGCCCCTCCATCTGACGCATCTTGCTGTCTCTCTGCAGCTAGTTAGTCACTGCCATTGTACATTCCTCACCATGCCTTCTCCAGGGTAAACCCGTCCAGCCACTGTGTTCAAGTCCATCTATTGTTTGTGAATAGAAATGCGTTTCAATCTAGACCTCCGGTTGATCCCGGGATCCACCACCCTTCAGGGGCCCATGATGCCGTCCATTGTTTACGTCTCTGCCTAATCCGTTCTGCATCTCCAGACTGCCAGATCTACAGCCTCCCAGTCATCACTCATCCACCAGACTATTGACGCTTCCCCATCCCGACTAATAACCCAGTGGAGAACCGTCTCCTTACTCTTAGCGCCTGTTTGGGTCCCGATGGGCTGAGTGCGAATCCCTGGGAGCCGTTAATCCCGGCCTAACTGGACTGACTTACGCGCCAGTGACAGGGTGAAGTCGAAGAGGGGCCACCCCCATTGATGCATCCGTGTCCAGAGTCCCAACTTCATCCCCCCCTCCACCTGACAGGGTCTCCAGAGCCGCTATAGATATTTAAGGGTCTTTCGTCCTTCCCTTCTTCTCTTCTTCTTCTCTCTCTCTATCTTTCTATCTCCCTCCCTCAACTTTCTCCTAATCCTTCCACAACCACCATGTCTTACTACCCCCCACCACAGGAACCCTACTACGGCGGACGCCCTCCGTACGAGCGTCCGCCATACGACCGTCCTCCCTACGAGGGTGGTCCTCCCCCGGAGCGTCCCCCCTATGACCGTCCTCCCTACGAGGGTTCTTACGAGCGTCCTCCCTATGATCGCCCCCCTCCAGAGAGATACAACTCCGGCCCTCCTCCGCCGGAGCGCCCTCCCTACGACCGTCCCCCATACGGTGATCGGTCTCCCTACGAAGGCGGCGAGCGCGGCTTCGACTCCCCTGCTCCTCGTCCTCCCTACACCAGCCCTCCTCCTTCCGCTCGTCCTCCCCCCGTCCCTCCCCCTCCTCTCCCCATGGACTGGGCCCAGGAGTGGGAGCCCAGCGTCCGCCGCGCCTACTACGTCCACATTCCCTCCGGCCGCACAGAATGGGAGCTTCCCGCTGACATGTCCCGTGACATGCCTCCCCCTGGCCCTCCCCCGGCCGGTGGACCGGGCTACTACGGAAGCCCCCCTCCGCCGCAGGAGGGCGGGTACTACCCCGACCCCCAGGCCCAGCAGATCTCCGAGGAGGAGCAGAAGAAGAAGGACCGTAAGAACATGCTTCTCGGTGGCGCAGCTGGTGTGGCTATCGGTGCTCTCGGTGCTGCATTCGTCTCACACGAGATTCGTACGTTTCCCCCCTCTCCCCTTCCCGTCCAAGGCCACATTCATGGTCACGGTATAAACTGCATACTAACAAGAACAATAGACGAGCACGAAGAAAAGGAAGAAGAGGAGGAGCGTGAAGAACAGCAGTCGTACGACTATGACCGGCCGCCTGTCGTGTACGAGCGCGAAACCACTATCATCGAGCGTGGAGAGGAGCCTGCCTATGAGAATTACGACGAGGATGGATGGTAGATGCGGTATACCTATTCCTACTTGTTAATAACCAAATTCTATTCGCATAAGCTTTCGGGAATGTTTAGCTGTATTTATTATACTTTTTAACTGAATACCTACCTTCTATCGAGGAATAGATTTGATACTCGGAATGTCTATTGGAGATGTCTTGTCTTAATATGATTCTCGGTCTATTACTAGTAATTCCAGGTGTATGTCGCCTTGGCGATAAGGCACTCACCCCACTGGTTCAATGCCATACTTCTTTCCTATCGATAATAAGTAATAGTCTCTCTGACATTGATCCACAACGCATTAATGACATAAAGCCGGTATTATACTCCTTGGTGTTGGGAAGGGTCTGTCTAATAATAAATTAAGACACAAAAAAATTATCTTCATTGGTACTATATCAAAGAACAGTGGGATAACCGCCCAGTGAGAGCTGCGCACCTTATCTTCCATGAGTGAGCAGTCATAGTTAGTAGTACTAGTACTTACTGGTATGATTTTATTATTACCCTGAACCTGAAGAATACGGGAAAGATTTAGGTGGTAATGAAATTTATTACTTCTTCATAGTGTTATTCTGCATTGTAAGCGAGATCTCAACGATATAATAAGGTCTCGATTGTAGGATCGTCCTACTGATAGTGTCATCTACTGGCGACCATGGTATCAAGATGGATAGTAAAGATACTAAAAAAGGTTTTCAGTGTTGGTGTGATTGTTCGACAGATATACTCTCATATATACACAGTATTTCATCCGCTCACAGCGATACTATAACTACTACAGGAGCATAGTAGTACATACTATACTATAGCTCCCACCCAAAAAAACTCCCAAAGTACTGGGAAGCACTTATCAACACTACTTCCAACAAACAATCTCCCCATGCAACAAGCCAAACCACCCCTGTTCACACTCCATAAACTCCTCCCACCCCTTAACAATTCCATCCAACTGCTCCCTAGTCGCAAACCCACCCTCAACCGCCTGCGCCGCGAACCCCGAATTGGCCGCCCTTCCTGCCATCGACCCACCCCAATACCTCCGTTCCTCAGGACTACTAAAGCACCACGACCCCGCCGTCTTCTTGATCCTTTCCTGCGGAAACCCCGCCTCTTCCGCCCACACATGGATCTTCGACCCCGGGTGTGGGTTCCCGCCCTTCTCTCGAGCCATTTTAGTAGCAATGTCCAGCCAGAGCTCGATCCCCTTGTTCTCGGGATACCATGTCATGGCGCTGGATTCGCGGGCGGCAATGATCCCGCCGTCAGGTTTAGCGACGCGGCGCATTTCGCGCAGGGCGAGGACGGGATCCGCGATGTGTTGGAGGACTTGGTGCACGTGAACTAAGTCAAAGGTGTTGTCGGCGAAGGGGAGGGAGTGGATGTCGGCTACTTGGAAGGTGATATTGGTAATGCCTTGGGATGAGGCTAGATTGCGCGCTTGGTCTAATGGATCCGAGACGTATTCTACCCCTGTTACGTGGCCTTCCGGGACGTGTCGCGCGAAGTCGACGGTGATGCTGCCGGGGCCGCAGCCGATGTCGAGGATGGTCATGTTGGGTTTGAGGTAGGGGAGCACGTAGGGGACCGAGTTGGAGATGGTGCGCCACCCGTGGGTTTGGAGGACTGCCTGGGCATGGTCGGTTGTGTAGGTTGTCATTGTTGGTAGTAATTTGGTTGTTGGGTTTATCTTGAGGCGTTGAAGAATGTGTAGCTGTTTCTCGTGTCAATTGTGAGTTAAAGATGAGGTCAGTTGCTGGTGCCATGGGGGAATTTATATGGTGAGTCCTACCATGGATTGCACCTCGGATCTCTCTGTCACCCCACTATCAAAACCCCACCACATCGGAATTCCGATCCTCTTTCAACTTCCCCAAAACTCTACTGACTATGAGATCCTCCCAGTCCAAGCGGAGGCAGCAGCCTCCTCCACGCAAGAAGGCCTGCCAAAGCTGCACCAAATCAAAAGTCCGATGTGACTTGGACAGGCCGGCTTGCTCTCGTTGCCGGTCGCTTGGTCGGACCTGCGAATATCTGACGCATCCTCCGGTTACCAGTCCTCTGAGCGAGCCCAACTACACATCACCCACCGACACTACCGACAGAGAGCCAGTGTTGCCGATATACAGCACGCCACAGATAGCTCCGATCTCAGAGTTGCCGATACCCCTGCCATACACTTTCAGCAGTCCGGCTTGGACCCCTCCACATCCGCCCCGCAGGCTAGTAGCCGACAGTGTGCGTGGTGAGAGTAATGAACTCGACTTCACGGGGATTGAGCTAGTTCCGAGTGTCAATGCAGAAAGTATCAGGGATCGATGGCTGCGACCGTATATTTTGCCTCCACTGGGTCGTGATGAGGTCCCGAAGGCCTATCATCCGTTCACTTTGCAGTACATCTCGAGGATTTTGAGTACATATCCCCGGTTTATGCTGAAGGATGGCGATGTGCCACCGATAATCCATCGGATGCAGATTGTTGGGCGCAGAATGCCCCGTGCTTTGGCGAATTGTTACAGTCTGGTGCGGATGTGGGAGCAAGCTGCGGAGGGAAGTGAAACCTTGGTGGTAGAAACTGTAGAGAAAGAGATGGATCGACTAGCCAGCGAGGTATGACTGATCATTGTATACTATTGCTGCAAACGAGGCAGCAGCTGACATGGAACAGGAACCGCCTAGTCTAGATGACTTCGATCTTCTTGCTATTTTCCAGGCATACCTGATCTACTCCGTAATGTTATACTTCTCGCCTATAGCGGGAGCCAATGCCGTCAACGACAAAATCATGATAACTCTCATGGAATTGGCGTTCCGTACTGCTCGAAATGGGCTCTTCTGCACCGCCGAGATGTCTCATACCAGACCCAGCTGGGAGTCGTGGATCGTGGCGGCCGCCAAGCGGCGATCGCTCTTTACAATGTACCTGTTCTGCAGCGTTTACAATGCCGATCGGCTTTTACCAAATTTTATTGCAGACGAGATGACTGGTGTTTTCGCCCCTGAAGCCAAAGCATTGTGGGAAGCCACTTCTCGTGAGACATGGGCGAAAGAGTACGATCGGCATCTTCTTAATTGGGAAGACGGGATGCTTGAGATCTCGGAGTTGTGGAGATCTGCGGAGACAGGAACACCGCGACGGCGAGAACGGATTGAGCGGTGGCTACGAACAGTGGACGAATTTGGGATGACAATGTTTGGGGTTACTGCTCATGTGCATGGATGCTGATTTACTTGGGCAATTCCATTTGTACGCCACCTTGGAGTTCTGAATCGAAATTCTGAGCACGGGGCGGGAATTACACCAGAATGGCTCGTCTAAGTTACAGTGGACTTTTATTTGGTGCACGTTAGCAGGTTTTCTTACGTGGAATAGGCTGTTTGGTCTGTTTACATAGGAAAGATCTTATTCTTAGTAGAGATCTGGGAGATTTGGAGAGGATCGGAATACCGACATAGTGGGGTGAAGAGATCCGAGGTATAATCGAAGTACACCGCCTTCACACGTCATGTTCAATTCGTTCTAAATTTCTGGGAGAATAGGATCAAAGGGGTTCTAGAGGCAAAGCCAACAGCATCGAAGTGAGTTGAATTGTTGTGCTCGCTAAGTATTTAGTCATATAGTAGCAGACGTAAGATACGATCAAGCGCAGGCGCTGCGTGCGGCAGATGACCTCGGCAATGACAGCTTCAAGTTATATTTGAGCACATATACTAGTAGATTAATGAGCATTTAGAGAAGAACAGGGAATTACAGAGGGCAAAGGTTGAGGCACAAGGTGAGCTAACCAGACAAGTCCAGGTCATGAGAGGCAGTATGCTAACAGTGATATGGTTGAAATTGTGCGAATACTACGGTATAGAGATGGCGATCCGTTCTTGCTTTTCTTGCTATCGTTGACTGTTACTAGTAGTACCGAATTGCACCCCTGTCTAGACGGACTGACTAGTACTACTTGTGGCAAACCTTACAGACTATACTATGTTATTCTTGCCAATAGCATCCTTAGATTGGCCGATCATCAGCGGTGCTGACATTTGCTTAATTTATCTTGAACAATTGAAACATTGCATGACGTTATAGCTGTTGATCATTCTCTGCTCTAATTGGCTTTTGAAGTACTAATGTCAGCATCGCATCCGGAAAATGAGTCTAATATAGCAGTTTATGTGATAAATTAAATGTAATTACATGCTGTAGCCATGTAAAGTCAATTTGGAAAAGCTTTCTGTTGTATCTTCATATTATAAAAAGTAGGTAGAATCACTCATGGTGTATATCATGCTACGTAATAATACATGATATATAAGTAACATTCTCAAAAGCCCGGTGGTATCATGTCGTAAACTCCGTATTCCGTATATTATAATGTACTAGTAGATCGTTAGTACCAATAGCCCCGTGACTGTTGGAATATACATACCAAAGCGTCTGCTTCCAAATACGCAGAATCTAATGATCATGCGACGACGGCTTCTGGAGACGAGGATAGTAGAACAGGAAGAATACCACGACAGCTAGCAAGACCACGAGCGTCGGAAGAAACATAAACAGAAAGAGAAATAGACTCAGGCCTAGAGCGGCGCTATGTCCAGGAAAGAAGCGGCGAGCCATGAGATCAACAGTCGAAGCAAGCATCGATTCCATGGGAAGGGAAAGGGTTATGATCCACGCTAGTGGTCGAAGATCCGTCTAGTGAGGACTAGCGAACAAAGAAACAGGACGATCAGGGTCTTTGAATGTGATATTTATATCGCCGGTTTAAATGAAGTGGCAGACAAATCTTGCCGTGCTAGATAGAGGCTGGTTCCTCGGTCGGAGCTCACGGGATGATGAGTGATGCTGCAGTGAAGCTGCCTGGAGTGGAGCGCGCGAGCAGTGGGCAGCGCCGTTATCTCTGACTTTATTATTGCGGGGACCTAGGCAGACCACGCGAGTCGGTTTTGCGGCGGTAGTCTAGATGATTTGACTCGTTACTGCCGGACAGAGATTGGGGGTCTGGGAGGTCGACAGGGGAGATTCGAGCCATTTGAAGTCCTGCCAATAGCTCGGTGCCTGGTCCATCGAGGTTGCTTTTGGCGTCTGGAAAAGGCAAATTTGAGGTACCAGCCCGGTAAGTTACATGGGTAGCTGCTGGTTGGTAACGCTGTTCATTACCAGCCAAAACTGGATGCCTGCAGGGATTGCTTCATTATTGGGCGCAGTGGAGAGCCATCATTGGTGGATGTCTTAGCGCCCCGCTGAGAACCCACTCCAACCATTCCGCTTTCAGCCGAGTCGCTGCTAAAAATGAATGGGCATTCGAGGGCCAATCATTACCGGGGTGACGCAAGAAGCAAGGATTGTCTGGGTCAGGCAGCAGTATTTCATGTACGGCGCGCAGGTTGCTTTGAATACTTACAACCGCATGCTTATGAGCTTGGGAGGAGACTAGATTACATCTGGTAAGTAATATGCGAGGGAATGATGTCGCCACGATTGATTTAAAGTATCTCAATAAGGATTGCAATTTAATTAAAGCTCCTCTATCTCCCCCTGTTTCGGGTGCCGGGGAGTTGGTTAGATTCCCGCACTAAACCACGGATATAACTTCAGTATTACTGGTATCAACTTGTTGAGGATTTCAAAGACAACCGGACGGTGTAACAGCTGGATTGCCGATACGGCTAGAGCCACCGCAGCGAACCAATGGTCGTGTCGCCCTGTAGGGCTGAGGCGGACTTGGCACGGCCCTCGGGTAAATCAAAGGCAAGCTGGCCAGTCGAAGGGATGGACCATCGTGAATTTCGTTGTATCATGAGTACGCTGAACAACTGATATCATCCCGCCTGGATGGTCACATAACTACTAGTAATTAATATCCATTATTAATCAGAATGCCACTATGGAAAATCTCACGCTACGCCGTAAAAGAGAATAGTTCTTCCCATCGCAATCAATCAGGCGAGCGCATCATCCGTTTATCCCTTGCAATCCTTCTCTTCTCCTTCCCTTTTCCCTTCCCCTTCCCTTCAGTTCCCCATCGGCTTCCCCCCCCTCCCTTCCCCATCCCACTGAGCTCGGATGCATCCGTGAGTCCCCGCGGAGATGAGGCTATCTCGTTCGTTATCAATCGCTCAAGTCTGATCTGGTATTCTTTGCTTTTTCTTTTCCCTTTTCACCCCCTTCGACGAACCTTCCTGTCCTTCCTTTCGTCAGTTGATCCAGGATGGGTCTCTTTGCTGGACACGGAGCCCTCGACCAGGCCGAACTGGATAATTTCGGCGTCGATTGGGTCATCCACTACTCGTTCGAGGATGTCGGTAAGTAATCATCCTTCCCGATTCCATCCGGCTGAACCCGATCTCACACCCTCTTCTTCCCTCCAGAGCTCTCCCAGGCGATTCAAGAGTTTCGTACTTTAATCCACGACCTTCAAGAAGCGCATCTCCAGGTTCAAGTCCGTCATGGCTATGGCGCCTCCCTACTCGTCTGCATTCGTGTTCCACCTGATCTGTTAGGCAACCTGGTACACAAATCTCGGTACGGCTGATTGGTAACAACATATGGCGCATGGTCGGGAAAGCTAACGGCGTGTAGTGTCAAGGACTGGCTCCATGGAATCATCCACGAATTCCCTGAGGGCGGAGACGAGGGCGAAACTGACGCCGACACTCCTGCGGAGGCCCTCAGATCTGTTTACCATGCGGTGACATGGCAAAAGCATCTTGGAGGCGCTGGAATTACCCCCAAGGTGGGCCAATGGAAGAATATTACGGCGGCTATTCCTCTGCATGACCGCTCCGCCAACGCGGAGCTGCTCCGGAAATGGAGTCGGACTATTTTCTTGACGGCCGAGGATCTTGACGCCATTCGCGCATTGTATGGCGAGAAGGTGCGTGTATCTCGGAGCTTGTTCTGATTTTCCCGAGCATGTTTGATTTTAACATTCCCAGGTTGCTTTCTACTTTGCCTTCATCCATTGCTATTCCTGTTTCTTGATCTTTCCGGCCGTCTGGGGCATCTTCTCATGGTTTTACCTGGGCCCCTATTCGATTACGTGTGCGGTGGTGACTTGCATCTGGGGGATCGTGTTTATCGAATACTGGAAAACCCGCGAGCTCGATCTGAGCTTGCGCTGGAACGTCAAGGACGTAGGATTCCTAAAGGTGAACCGACCAGAATGGGTTTGGGACCGAGAATTCCAAAACCCGCACACCGGCGAGACCATCCGCGTGTTTTCGGCTCATAGGCAGTTTGCTCGCCAACTCCTGATGATCCCCTTTGCGACCGTGGCGAGCTTGGCATTGGGGAGCCTGATCATCCTATCATTTGCTCTGGAAATCTTGGTCTCGGAAGTATACAATGGCCCAATGAAGGCTTACCTGGAGTTTCTGCCGACCGTTCTGTTTTCGCTCTCCTTGCCCTCCATCACCAATATCCTGACGGAGTTTGCGAAGCGCTTGACCGACTACGAGAACTACCGCACGCAGGATCAATACGACCTGGCACAGACGGCCAAGACATTTGTGATGCACTTTATTACGGCCTTTTTGCCCACGCTACTTACCGCATTTGTGTACGTCCCGTTTGGAAGCAGGATTGCTCCCTATCTTGACACTCTGCGCTCTTACGGGCTCCTTTCTGCCAATCTTGCCCGCGAAATCCACATCGACACTTCCCGACTGCAACAGGAAGTGATCTATCTATCCGCGACCGCTCAGATCCTGAACTTCGGCGAGGAAATTGTGCTTCCCTATGTCAAGCAAACCTTGATGCACAAGTGGCGCGACTGGCGCGAAGGTCGGGACTCTTCGCGTCCTCGCGGCTACTCTCAGAGAACGGACCAACTCCTAGTGGACGCTCCGGAAGAAGCTGGTTTCCTTTCTCGTGTCCGTGACGAAATCGACGCGGACGAATACGACGTTCATGAAGATATTCTCGAGATGTGCGTGCAGTTCGGCTCTCTCGCTCTCTTTGGGGTTGCATGGCCTTTGGTGTCACTGGGCTTCCTGGCCAACAACTGGCTGGAACTACGGGGCGACTTCTTCAAATTGAGCTTGGAGTGCCAAAGACCTGCCCCCATCCGCGCCGACTCGATCGGACCATCTCTCCTGGGTCTAGAAGTTCTCAGCTGGCTCGGTACCTTGTCCACAGCTGCCATCGTGTACCTCTACCGCGCTGGTCTCCAGGAAGTTAACATGTCGTCCCTTCTTCTTACCCTTCTCCTTGCCGAATGGGCCTACGTTGGCGTTCGCTTCATCGTGCGGAGCGGACTTGAAAGAATTAGCTTCATATCCCTTCGTCGCGAGGAGTCGAAGCGATACGCCATGCGCAAACGCTTCTTGGAAGCCACCTCGGGCCGGGTGTCCCCTCGGGCTAAACCGCGGGTTCGGTTCCAGGACCGGGTTAGCGTTTTCTCCTCGTCCACTGATGTCCCTGGTACTAAGGAAGACTTCCTGCATCCAGGGCATCACCATGAAATGGGCCGCGGAGGACGGTTCTGGTCGTGGGCTCCCAATGAGACAGCGGACGCAGGCGTTCGGCTGATCAAGGCCCTGAACACTAACATGGATGGTTCGAAGACCGGGCCTGTAAAGGGCGCCAAGGGCGCTTGATCTGCTCAACACACCAGTCACTCATTACTATAGATTTGTCAATCATTCGTTTGATGTTTTCTGACTCAGAACTGTCGCAGGTAGATGGCTAGATGAGCCTGCGGGACGGAAAATGTAGTTTATTTGTGATGGACCACTAGCTGTCTTAGAACATTGTTTCCTTTTCTATTTTTATTCTCATATTTGTTTCCTTGGTTTCTTCACTTTTGGTTCTGTATGTATACATTAGACTATTAGTAATTTGATGATGATTCGGAAATCCTCTACATGTACATTGGCGTAGGCACATTCTAGTTCATACTATACAGGAACTATTCGTATCATAATCAAATCTTATTAGTACATCAGAAACGAACTAGCTCACCACCTTACTGGTAACATATAGTTTTCTCAGTCTCACAACTGAACACATTCTGTTCGGTCCTATTTAACATGTTTCCTTTCACAGACTATTGTCCACGGACGCACAACTCAATAAGTCACCGCGCAGCATGACGCAACTCCCTAGCAATCATATCAACAACACCATCAAACATCGTTGAATCTGCAAGGCCTTTTTGCCATGTAATAGTTACAACTAAACAGCCATCTCCGCCTGTGATCGAAGACACGGCCAGCGGTGCACTCACACCATCAAACGGCTGAGCGAACATCATCCGTCCAATCTGCGGCCACGAAACACGTTCCTGGCCGGCTTCCAAAACCCCCAAATTCGAAGCTTTGAAGCTCCCATCTCGGTCCTTCCCTATCTTACCCCGTATAAAGCCATGACCATCCAGGTATCTGAGCAAGCCCACACTGGAATCCTTGCCCTTGCGACTGAGCACCTCTTTAATTGTTGTGCAGGATTTCCTTGCAACTCCCCACAGAAAGCTGTCAGGAGGATGCTGGTCCATCTCCTCCCGGAAGAAGCTTTCCTTGAAGTCCATGACCCAAACACCCATTGATTGATCCGTAACTCCCCCTTCTTCCTTCAGCCACCGGCGAGTCGACATCGCGCCAATAGCTTGCAATCTGGTGTACTCTTCTGGCAGATGCGCAAGTAGGCTGCGTGCAACGGCTGTGTGTAGGGCCGAGGTGATAGTCGCATGATTTTGACGACATTTCTTTCTCAGGGTTGTAGATATTGTTTCTGAAATAACAATTTGGCGGATTTCAATATCAACTGGTGTGTATGACTTCGGTCCTGTCCAGAGACCCGGATCACGATAGGGCCATAGTTTGATCTGGAGCACCTTTTTCAGGAGGAAAGTAAAACTTATAGAGCACGGATGGAGCGCTTCCAGACTAGGCAGCAGAGGGACCTTAGGTGATGGAATCACTTGTCTTGTGATTCCTCCCTGGGCCAAGTAAGCGGCAGCATCATGTAAAGCCTCTCTAAATGTCTCGTGGAAAGCCTTCCCTGATATCCCGTCGCCGATTGCATGGTGGAATATATATACCGCTGTAAAGCGCCGCTCAGTCGGCTCTGTTAAGATGATCAGTCTCCAGAATGGCAGAGGCGCTGTGAACTCGGATTTCTGCTGAACTTGCAGCAGATTACATAGTTCAATGTCTGGTTGATCTTCAGTAGGATAATCGTGGCCACGCCTTTGAAATGATACGGATTGGGTCAGGTCGATTCCCGGGAGCCGGAAGAACCAGGTATCATGGCTGTCTTTTACCGGGATTGCTGATAGAATAGGGTTCTTGGTGATCACTGTCTCACATGCTCTATATGCATATTCCTTTAAGGGCCGGGTGAAAGTATTTGGCAGGACATAGGTTGCCGATACTGCCACGTTGGAGTGCCCAGCCAGACCGCGTGCGAGGAAGAATTTCTCTAGGTGCCCTGTTGGACGTTTGTCAATCCATGTATCTTTTTCCAATCAATTAATATTTTTGCACTGACCGGCTGGTCGTAGTCTTTCAAGCTTGTCCATCCTTGAAATGTTATAAGGACGTTGTACGACCGCACTTTCAGCGAGATGAAGATAGCATCTCTTTAGTTTTCGTCTTGGAATAATATATACTACTGTTAGGTCGAGGAAAAACAAGCCTTCTTCTGACCGAGCATCTGTTCATATTGAACAAAATAGTTCAATAAACAGCCTCTTGATATTGTTATATGGACAACTTACTAATTCAGACAACCTGAATTGGGACTGCAAATCACCCAAAGACAGCGAAGAGCCCTTCACAACACTATAGAGCAATGAACGTGATGAGTGAAAAGGTGAAAGGAATAGTTAGTGCTCTCAATTCCGCCGATATCTCAAATCATGTTAGATACTATTATACCTTTTGCGTCAAGCCTTGAACGGAGAATTTCCCGGTTTCTGAAGGCTTCTTGTCCATCTAATATGTAAGGTCTGCCGATGCCTTCAGGTTTTCCAAGCTTGATCATTAATATTGCTGTATCAGCACGGAGTATTGGGTTGCTGCTACATTGGAGAATCTGCGTTAGGTCAAGTGACTTATTAACGTGTCGAGATTCTAAAATCGTACTTGCGGTGGACGGACGTACGGCAGCGTCCCCCAAAATAATAAAAAACAGTTTATCCATGTACGTCTCATTACTATAGATAGTTCTGCCAGTGCAAACCCACATTTACTGTGATGTGGATCAGAACATAAGATGTGTCTATTCTTTCGTCGGAACTTGTGTGGCGCATGAGGGTAGCATCGGTTGCCGTGAATTGTGACAGCCTCGGTGCTTATAAAGTTTATTGTGTAGATCATTGCTTTAGTCACTGCAGTCTTTCCACTTTATCATACAACCGTCAATGTAAGCACTTGTTCATTATATTTAGCACACCAAAACTTCATCATGCAGCTACTATGTAACCAGACTTAAAAGCTAGAACTGATGCGGTGTCTCATCCACCCGGTAAACCAACTTCTGTCCTCGTACTTTATTCTCGCGCAACAGATCCAGCCCGGACAACACTCCCTTGAGCCCATATGGCTGCTTAGACACAGGGTGGGTCTTTATCTTACCCTGATCCAACAAGTCCTGAAAGACAGACTGCCATAATAGATGATGCTTCATATCGATGGGCTTGGCGGGAACCTTCTGGGGACCCATTGTGTATGGCTCCCCCACGACGGTATACGCCATTGAGACCGTCGACCGAACATCTCGCCGAGGGCACCGAAGTTCCTGCAACGTGTGGTATCGGGCCCCAGATCTGCTGGTTAGAGCTTCCGCACAGAACTGGGCAGAGCTCGCCATTGCAACGGTGTCAAAGCACAGCTTCAAGTTATCCCTAGTATACTTCCGAATCGCTGCCGCCGCATTGGGCTTGGTATAGTCAAACACGGCGTCCGCCCCGAGTCCTTTGACCAGCTCGAAATTGCTGGCTGAGCACGTCGTGATTACTTCCATCCCAGACAGTTTAGCGCATTGAATGGCCAGTGTGCCAGTTGCGGTAGATCCTCCATGGATCAAGACAGTCTTTGGTGTCGTAGGACTTCGTGGCTTTCCAGGCACTGGGAGTCCAAGATTTTGATACAGACTCTGGCCCACGGTTGTGTATCCGACTCCAACCGTGCACGCATCCTCCCAGCTCATCCCGTCCGGGATCTTGAGTTGCCCATTTCCCTTGACCATAATGTATTGGGCAAACGCGCCATCTTCGGGCTCAACAGCGTTGCATCCGTGTGTGAGTCCCAAAACTCGATCTCCCTTCTGGTATTTGGTCACCTTGGGACCAATCTCCTCGACAATCCCGGCAAAGTCGCAACCCACGATACATCCATTGCTTGGGACGAAGTCAATATGCCTCCAGTCGGTTGGGTTAAGGGCCACTGTGCCATGTTTTTAGTGAGTGCTTCTTGCTAAATGGAATGAAAGCGGAATGGTAATTGAGCAACAAAACAATGGCCCAATATGCCTGCCTACCTGTTACAGTTCTGACCAAGATGTAATCGTCGCGTAGCCTAGGGATTGATCGATTGGTCACCAAAGCAGCCTTGCGAGGACCTTGTGTGACAACAGCCAATTGGCCCTGTGATATTCCAACCATGATGCCTCTGTTGGGTTGACGAGAAGAAGGAAGAGAGGGGGAGAAATACTTGTGCACAGGACGATAAGAAGCGGAGAGAGTTAATAAGCCTCCAGAAACAAATAACCCGCTTCCTAGATTCTAATGCCCTCGGTATGAATGTAAATCTTTTGGAAGACGTACAAAGTACTGATCGGGGTAAGCCAGCTCCCCGTTCTAACTACAGAATGGACTGTGGCAGTTAAGCGGGCTGCCGACATGCCAGCTGAAGGAAGAATTAGCGGTGGCGTCCTAATAGTTGATTATCTTATTGTTGAATCTGCGGTGTGTGACTTAGCAGCTTGCCATCTTATGGCTCTGGACAAGGTTGTTCCGGGTCAGGTTGTTGGGGGAGGAGTGTGTACTCACTAGTGATTTCCTGCTTCTTTGACTTGCCGGAAGACACTATATGTTGCATATGCAACTCTGTACATATGCAGCACAGTATAATTCGTTAAGTAAAACTTGACACAGTAAAACTATATTTGTATATCTTATTCAACTCGTTCCTGATTTTTTGCACTCTTGGCCTATCTAATGAATCACACCATTGCATGCAATAGATCAATAGTCGCCGATCCTATTGGGTAGAAGCTTGGATTTAATATCGACAGACACATTCAATTCAGTCCTATGATTGACTTCATCGTCTCCTACAAAAGTCAAAGATGGAACGCCTTTTGGTAGTAGTAGTAGTTAGTCAGTAGACAGTATTGGTAGTTGGTCTCGATTCGGACTGTTCAGAATCATGTTCGCATTGTAGTACTATATATCCGAGTTACTAAATAACACGAGTGTGGGTGGAGTCACTTCCGGGGTAAACTTACTGAACATAGTGAGAGAAACATCAGAACAAGGCCGTGGATTTCTCAGATCAAGTTATTGTTTTCATCCACATAAATACGGGGTATATTGCATATGAAGCATCTGTCAAACCTGTCATATCGGTATCCCCCTGGTAATTACCTTATGCGGAACATCTCTCTCAATTGGGTTTAGGTCCAGCTGGGGGCCACAGAGGTATCAGTCATGTGATGGGGACCCATGCAGCTCCGTCTCTTCTCTATCCACTCACACACTCCCTCTCGCTTTCTTGTGTCATAAGCAATTCAGCTTGGTTAAGTGAAAATGATATCAGGCATATGTTGCAACGATTGTTCCATTATTTACACTTGTTTAGCTTGAAGCCTATATCCTGCCAGCATTCCACGGTCTTGACCGAGACGACCTGGGCTCCTTCGAAAATCGGATTCATAGCCATGAGAAGGAGTAGGGACTGCAGCGGTTTTGCGCAATTTTTACTCCGTACATGTCCTGTAACCAATTCCACTAGCCGGAACAGAACTCATGGACCCTGTTTGTTTTATTTGAACCATACTTAGAGGCGCATATTGTGGTAGACTATGAGCAAAGTACCCGCAGTGCATATCAGACTTTCCACATCGCTCCGCTGGGCTGATCAGTGACCCGCTCACTACAAGTACAAATGAATATATCAGTAAGAGCTATCTTACTGTATCTGATGATTTTATCGCTCTACAACTCCACCATCCATCACCACCAGCCAATGGAGCGTCCGGACCTCCAGATTGTTTACCTCCTGGGCGATCTACCTTTCGGGGCTAGTACCAAGGGTGCGACATCGCAAACCACTGGCCACCCTTAAGGTGAACTGATGCAGGTTACCCTAACCATCGAAGAGAGTGTGGAACGCTTGTGTCCTTGACAATCATGACTAGTATTCTCGCAACCATTGATCACTAGCTGAATTGCTTACAGTCTTGAATTATATTCACCCTTGCGCTTGAGGTAGGCTCTAGGGATTTGTCTTTGAAAGCATCAAAACTAAAAGTCATCTCTAAGCTCCAGATTCAGTGACCTCGATTGTCTGGTTGCTACTGGCACACCGCTCCTAAATTTGAAGGTGCTGCAGTATTAGTGGGCGGTGGCTGAGACACCATGGAAGGTTCAATCTACTCGTGCTGCATCGGAGATCCCTCTCCCACCCAAAGGGAAATGTATACGTACACGCGCATATGAAAAGACTAGAAAGTACTCCGTATAACGGATTAAATACATCACATGAGGAAGAAAGAAGCAAAAAAAAAAAAAAAAAAAAAAAGGAAGAAGAAGAGCCTGTAGGCCCAGCAGCATCATGGTTGACCAAGTGCAGATCACTAGGCCTATATGATACCAAGATGACAAGGCTTGCGGGTATTTGGGGATCTGTGCATTCTCCAACAATCAAACAAGCTTAGGCTCTTTTGATAATTTTATTGGCGAGAGTTCGATTCTATAAGTACTACTGGTTAAGCCCAACCGTTCCATTTCCAACTTATCTCCGGGTGACCACTAACAATCTGATCAAAGATAATACTTTGCGAACCACAATGAACGTCCCCAATGAGCCCATTGCCATAGTTGGCAGTGCTTGCCGGTTTCCCGGTGGCTGTGATACCCCTTCCAAGCTTTGGGAGATGCTGAAGCAGCAGCGCGATGTCATTAAGAAAATTCCCAAAGATCGTTTCAATACCGACGCGTTATATCATCCCGAGCCGACGCACCATGGCACCTCAAATGCTCAATATTCATATCTGCTAGAGCAAGACATAGGCGAGTTCGATGCAAACTTCTTCAATATTCATCCAAAAGAAGCCGAATGTATTGATCCGCAACAGAGGGTTCTCCTGGAAACAGTTTATGATGGAATATCCGCCGCCGGCCTACCCATGGAGAAGATGCGAGGATCTGATACGGCCGTCTATGTGGGTCAGATGTGCGATGACTGGGCTGGCATCCTCCAGCATCAGGTCGATGAAGCCCCACCATACACTGGCACGGGGACGTCACGAAGTATCATGGCCAACCGAGTTTCGTACTTTTTCGACTGGCATGGCCCATGTATGAATATTGATACGGCATGCTCGTCGAGTCTTGTAGCGGTTCACGAGGCGGTTCAGACCTTGCGGAGTGGTCACTCTGCAGTCGCTGTGGCGGCTGGTGTTAATTTTCTAATCCATCCAAGTATGGCGGCCGCTAGTGCTTTCTGTTGATTGATTGACCATGCGAGCAAACCGAGCATCTAGTGTATTATGTTAGTGAAAGTAACCTCCGGATGTTATCTACGTCAGGTCGATGCCGGATGTGGGATGCATCGGGAGATGGGTACGGACGTGGTGAGGGAATTGCTTGTGTAGTACTCAAGACCCTTAGCCAGGCACAGAAAGACAATGACCACATTGAATGCATCATTCGGGAGACTGGGGTTAATCAAGATGGCCGAACCTCCGGAATCACCATGCCCAGTAACATTGCCCAGGCACAGTTAATTCGCGATACTTACCGCCGCGCCGGGCTCGATGTCCGCAATCCGCTGGACCAGCCTCAGTTTTTCCATGCCCACGGCACGGGCACAAAGGCGGGTGACCCACAGGAAGCAACAGCTATTTATCGCGCATTCTTCACAAAGGAGACCGAACCAGAGCAGAAGCTGCTGGTGGGCTCTATCAAAACACACATTGGGCATACAGAGGGCGCAGCGGGCCTTGCCAGTGTCATCAGCACTTCGCTTGCCTTACAACATGGCGAAATATTCCCGAATATGCATTTCAACGAGCTGAACCCTGATATTCTTCCATATTACGGCGCCTTTGAGGTGCCAACCTCTGTCCAGGAGTGGCCGGCGTTGAAGCCAGGTCAGGTTCGCCGAGCGAGTGTCAACAGTTTCGGTAAGGAACTTGCTTCCCTTTTGGAAACAGCAGGCATGAATAGAGGCAGATATCTAAGTGACTAGAATAGGATTTGGGGGCACCAACACCCACGCCATTCTTGAGGCTTATATACCGTCCGAGCCCACGCACTCCGAGCCGCCTCGGTCGTCAACATTGTACACACCGTTGCTCTTTTCAGCCAGCTCGGCTGACTCTCTCCGGGAGATGATTACCAAGCATCTCGACTACCTGGTCGAAAATCCTGAAACTAGCCTTCGTGATCTTGCATGGACGCTGCAGCATCATCGCTCAACTTTACCTTTCAGGAAGGCCATCACCGGGTCCAACTACGAGAAAATTGTAGCTCAAATGCATAGCGTTGTATCTGCCGAGCCGGCTGATCTGAAAACTCGATTTGCTCAATACTCGGAGCCTCGGATTCTGGCAGTATTTACTGGTCAGGGCGCTCAGTGGCCTCAGATGGGTGCTCGCTTGCTACAGTCTTCAAGCTTTGTGCGCGATAAAATTGCCTTCTTAGACGAGTGCCTAGCCACTCTTCCTGAAGATGATCGACCAGATTGGGCTCTTAGCGACCAGATTCTGGCTGCAGGGAAATTTTCTAGGGTCACTGAAGCGGCCATATCTCAGCCTCTTTGTACCGCTGTCCAGATTGTCCTTGTTGATCTCCTTCAAGCAGCGGGGATAAAGATTGGTGCAGTCGTGGGACATTCCTCGGGCAAGTTTCCCTATCTCCGTTTGCGGATTTTATAACGTATATTAATCTAGATACAGGGGAGATTGGTGCGGCGTATGCCGCTGGCTTCCTGTCTGCATGCGATGCTATTCGAGTGGCATATCTCCGTGGTGTCTGCGCGAAGCTCGCAGCTTCCCCGAGTGGTAGCAAGGGTAGTATGGCTGCCATCGGTGCTTCGGCTGAGGAGGCGCACGATCTCTGTAACTCTGAGAAAATGAAAGATCGAATTACTGTCGCGGCGCTGAACTCGGGATCCAGCGTTACACTATCCGGGGATGAGGACGCCATCAACGCAGCGGTGGATATCTTCTCTCGCCAGGGCAAATTCGCCCGTCGCCTGCGGGTAGATACAGCGTACCATTCGGCGCACATGCAGCCATGTGTAGATCCATATCTCAAGGCTATGGAACGCTGTGGTGTCTCAGTGCAACAACCTTTGGGAGACCGACCGACCTGGTTTTCCAGTGTATACCCTAATACTGCGATGAGTGCCGATACCTTGACCACTGAGTACTGGGTTCATAATATGGTGCAGGCTGTTCTCTTTTCACCGGCCCTCATTACGGCTGCCAAGGGCGGACAGCCATTTGACATGGGCATTGAAGTGGGCCCTCACCCGGCCCTCAAGGGTCCTGCGTTGGACTCACTAGGCCAGATAGACATGCAAATTCCTTATACCGGGTTATTTGCTCGTGGCGAAGATGATGTAGATGAGCTCTCTGCCGCTATGGGATTCCTCTGGACCCAGCTTGGCTCGGGTGTGGTCAACTTCGACGGACTGGAGCGGGCTTTAAACAGCGACAAGGAGCCCAAAAAACTCCTTGTTAATCTGCCCAGTTACCCATTCGACCATCAGAATCGCTATTGGGCTGAGTGTCGCACGTGGAGGGCTGACAGACTGTCAGGAAAACCCCCAAATCCACTACTAGGATCGGTTCTGGCTACCACGAGGAGCTCTAGCAATGCGCAGTGGAAAAACATCCTCAAGCCAACAGAGATACCTTGGCTACAGGGACATCGATTGCAAAATCAGCTAATTTTGCCCGCGACTGCATACATTGTTATGGCTCTGGAAGCAATCACCGCGGTGGCTGGGGATGCTGCAATAGCATTGTTCCGGATGACCGATGTCCTACTGAGGCGCGCGATTGTATTCAATGACGATAACTCAAGCGTGGAGTGTATTTCCAGCTTGCGAATACTGGAGTCAAATGAGTCGCGCATCAGAGCCAAATTCACCGTCGAGTCTGCCTCGCAAGGAGACCTGTCCTTGCGGCTCAATGTGGAAAGTTTCATTGAGGTGGAACTGGGCGGATCCATCCCCGACAAACTACCATTGCTCGAGCACGATCGGTACTACAATATCAACGAGCAAAACGCCGAAAGATTCTATTCAGAAATGCAAATGATCGGCTACCACTACTCGCCGCCTTTTCGGGGAATTTCCAGCATCCACAGACGCTTGAACTTTGCTCACGGCACACTGATTGACCAGTCGGGAGACGCCTGGGAGGATCAGCTTATCCTGCATCCAGGTATGTTGGATACAGCTGTACAGACAATCATTGTGGCCTACTCTGCGCCCCAGGATGGACGGCTATGGTCCCTCCATGTGCCAACCCGGATCGCCTCGATAGAATTTAATCCCCATTTCGTTTTCAGTCGAACCTCGAAGCAAGAACTCATTCGGTGGGAAAGTAACGTCGCCGATCAGGCAGCCAGCGTGATTGAGGGATCGTTTCATCTTCTCACTCAGGACAGGAAACATAGCTTTCTGCAGGCAGAAGGCATTGTGTTATCACCATTCAGTCCTGCCCAAGCCCAGGATGATAACCAGCTGCTGGGCCATATGGAATGGCAACCGGCAATCCCGAACGCAGATATTGAGGCTGCCGAAGCCTCTAGCGCTTTAGACTCATCCGTGACCAGAGACGTGGAGCGAATGGCTCTGTACTATCTGCGCAAAATGTGCGAGACGAGCACAGAGAAGCACCGAAACAATGCGTTGCCGCATCATCAACAGCTCCTCAGGTGGGCAAGCTCTACCCTCGATCGGGTTTCAGCAGGCAAGCATCCTTTCATTGCCAAGGAATGGATTTCCGACTCTGAGCAGCAGATCCAGCAACTGACCCGCTAGTAAGTTCCCGCCTGCCACGGATTGTACCGGCGTCAACTGCATGCTCATCATTATCACAGCCACCATGACTCTGTGGAAGCGAGACTCGTAGCGGAGATCGGCTCTAGCCTTCCCTATGTCGTTCAAGAACAGGGTGTTCTTGCGCACTATATCTCCATTGACGAGGAAGCGCCTACTATCAAAATGGTACATGAGCGCCTGGCCAATCTGGTAAAGCAGATAAACCATCGCTACGCGCATATGAATATCCTTGAGATTGGTACGTCCTGTCTTGGGCTTGGAAGACAATACTGACCAGATATAGGATCTGGGACCGGGGCTGTGGCTGAGATTATTGTGCCCTCCCTGGGGACATCGTTCTCCTCTTACACCTTTACCGATGTCTCCGATGACCTCTTCAGTGAAGCTGAATTCCGCTTTGGTCAGTACGCAGATCGAATGGTCTTCAGAACATTGGATATTCAGCAGGATCTCGCTGCTCAGGGCTTTATTGCTGGCAAGTATGACCTCGTTCTCATAGGTAACAATCTCCAGATGGCTCAGGACCAGGAGA